CGGTGAGAGGATTCACCAGAGACAGGCTGGGGAACAGAACAGGCAGATTGACCTAAGTACACTGTTGAGAGGACCAGTGGGTGAGTCAGGAGAGGCCTGCTGCACCATATGGGTCAGCTCCCTGGCTGGCCCGTGATCCAGAGACAGCAGACAGCTTCCCAGGCTGCGTCTTATGTCTTACTTACCATAAAATAAGTAATCTTGTATAATTTATATGAAATCATAAACATGACTCTCAGAAAAATATATAATCAATTAATATTAATTCATCAGAGACAGTACTGGTATTTTCACAACATGCTACAAAGAGGATTTTGAAGAATAGATCCTTTATTGTCCAGCATGAAAGCAACTTAAAATATTCTAAGAAAGAACAAAAGTGCTGTGAGCCAGTGGCAGCAGCCTGGATGTCAGGGGTTCCTGAAGGATGGGACGGTGTTGGGGCAATTGTGGGGTGATGGGGAGGGAGAAGGAGTGAGGAGACACAGACACTTGATCAGGGTGCAGGCATTGTCCTGCTGAGGGTCTCAGCAGCCCTTTATTTATACATTTCAAGCAAACTGTGAGAGTGCATAAGCATATGCATTAAGGCAGGAAGATAACAGTTGTCACATCTTTTTCAAGAACAGTCAAGCATCTATTTTCCCTCCTGCGGAGATTGTGACATTTATTATTTTTTAATTTAAAGAAGGCACAGTTGCTAAACAAAAGTGTTCTTAGAGTAGTCATTTACCTTAAAAAACCAAACAGTTATTTTATTACTAGCAAAAAGCTTATGTGACCGCAACTAATATTTCTATGTTTGCCAGAGTGAAGGATAACTAAGGACTAGGGGAAACAAAGGGTAGGAAGTTACCTGGGGGAAGGGAGACAAAGGGATTTTTTTCTAACCTATGAAGTTTAGACTAACATATACCCAAATGATTAAAGCAGAAAACAGAAGGCTTTTATATAGAAATCATCATCTGCAATATTTTTTTTTAAATAATAAATTTTATTTTTATATTCCCCATACAATTGCAACCCCCCCCATTTTGACCCCACTCCCTCCCCTCCCACCCCCAAAAAAGTGTCTCTGGTTCATAGTTTTTTGTTGATTTTGATTTTCACTTTCTTATAGTTATGCAATATTTTGTTTTAATATTGATTCGATATTAAGGAACCAAGGGCCGGGAGGGCGTTAATACTAGGCAAGCTGCACTACTCTTCCCTAGGCCCCAGCTCTCAATTAAGGGAAGAAGTCTCCTAATCTAACAAAAGGGTTTTCTACCTATTACTCCTCTATTTATCTAGTCAGCCTAGTTTCTGTATCTAACTTTAAGATCAAGGGGAAATTCCTTTTCTCTGTAAGATTGCTGATTGTTGTTTTAAGGAACTACAAATATTTCATCAGGGGCAGGGGCGGAGATGGTTATAGCTTGTGGTTCTCAGAATGGTTAATACTTGACATATCAGTTGCTGTAACATTGACTATTTCCAAGTGCATTATTTGTGCTGCCATGGTTATTAGCTCCATCAGTCACAAAATTGCTGTTGACTTATTCTTGAATGCATACTCTAACAGCTACCATACCAATTGTCACCTTCAGGGGAATTAGCCCTAAACAAACAGGAAAAGTTTAGCAGGAGCCTGCTATGGCGCCTCCTGGCTTATCAGGAATTTTCTTAAACTTGGAGCATGGCTCCTGTCTGCCACCCCACTTCTATCTTTAACTTTAAAGTAAAAGAATGTCCTTCTCCAATTACCCCTTGCCTCAAAAGACCACATCTCCATATTAAAGACTTGGCCAAGGGATGTTTACAGCCTTTTGTTCCCAAAAGTTTTTTCACTTGTTAATGTAAGGCCAAATGTTGGATTACTGCCTTTTGGCAGAGAATGACTAATTTTATTAAAAATGTAATATTTGTATCATGCAGTGTCAATTGCCATTAATTTGGTTATTCAGTAATTGATCCAAAAGCACTTGCAGTTTTACTTTTAAATGTGCATTTTAACAATGGTAGAAACTAGCCATAAACAAATGAGGAAAAACTAGCAGGAGTCAGCTAAGGAGATTCCTGACTTTTCAGGAATCTGCCACATGCCTGGACCTTTGTCAGACGGCATGAGTAGCATGGCTCCTAGTACAGAAGCGGTAATATCTATGGATAAAAAATTATAGTATTTGTAATTCTCTTTTTTGCTTTACAGACCACATGTGACTTCACAGCAAACACATCCTTAATTAATGATAAAAACCCAAGTCAAACCTTATACATTTTCTAAATATTTACATTAGTTTGACTCTAATTACAAAATCTCTGTAATGCCCCATTAGATCAAAAGACATGACACACAGCTTACTTATATATCAGTTTTTAGTAGTTTTTCAGATCAATAGAAGGAAAAATTTCATGGATAGTAGCTGAGGGTAAATCCTAAAAATGACAAGCATCCCATCATAGGATCCAGAAGAAAGGCAGCATGACCAGGAGAGACACCTGTCCTCAGCTGTGACTAGAGTATCCAATCCAGGGCTCATCCTGGCTTTGACTGGAGTGTCCCCTCCAGGGCTCATCCTGACACTGTGCAAGGGGCCAAGGGACATGCTCCTGGGGTCCACCTCCTGGCCACCCAGGAGGGCGCGTGGGGGATGTGGGCCAGGAAGCATGAGTGTGTGATGGGAGAGTCCACACCTGTGACTACTCAGGTCCACACACAATTTGTAACAGGGTGGTCCCCAGGAAAGGGGGAGGTTCCCTGCCTCACCCAAGGGAGGGTGGAGCTGAGCAGGAAGAGGAGAAGCTGCAGAAGAGACTGAGGAAGGCAGCAGGATGGAGCCAGGAGACACGTGAAGAAACTGCGCTTGTCTTTTGGTCGTGGACTGGGTGACACAAGATGTGGGTGAGACCCATGGGGAGGTGACAATGGCAGCTTTCATCTTGATGTTGATTTTGCTCTTTTCCTTCCGGGCTTGTCTGGTTGTTTCTGACCCTTTTCTGTGGGTCCCCACTGGAAGATGCTTTAGACTTGTGGCAGGCTTTGGGGCCTTGCTCTGGGCCAATCCCATATGGATGGACTTTTACCCACGAGGGGATGGGTAACTTTGGGTGCTTGATTTAGAAACTAGATTATTTGCCTTTCCTGTATTGTTTCCTAGTTGTATTAAAGTTCCTTCCCATTAAAGTCTCATATGTTTTTTGTTGATGCGGCGGATGGCAGAACCCATTTAAAATAGGCAGGTTTGCGGGGGTTTGGGCTGCCCCTCTCCCTGCCTTATAACAGATTTGGCGCCCAACGTGGTGCTGCCCCTCTCCCTGCCCTATAACAAATTCACACATTTGAACAGCCACACAACACAATTGTATGTTTTTAACTACTAAGAGAAGCTCCCTGTTTACACGTCTCCAGAACAGACAGCACCAATCTTTGTATCTATATTACTTATTTCTTAAGTTTAGTCACAATTAAATTGTTTATCTGTTACCCAAAAATACATCATAAAGTGTTCTTTAGAATCTGGATTCCTCAGCACAAGCTCAAGTTGGATAAAATCCAGTTAATTTAGGACCCAAATTCATAGCTCATCCCCTTCCTTGTACAAACAGTATGAAAACCCCTTGAAATATTTTCTTTATGAAAAGAAAAACGATCTCCCATGGTAACATTCTTCCTCCCCCAAACAGGTTCAAGTCAGTCAATTTCACCATCTGTGTCCTCAGCACGAGGCCTGACTTGACTGTTCTCACAGCCACGGCAGTAAATGGGTGATGGGAGAGTCCATGCATTCGACTCCTCAGCCCCACACTCACAATATATACACTGCTTCTCTTCAAATATCAAGGGAAAGCTGCCTTTACAAGTGAAGAAGTGCTTACCTTTCCCCAAAATGTGGGGACAAACAGCCCCAATTTTTGTATCTAAAATGCCATATTAGGCATTTCTCGAATTTGCTCACAGTACCTTTATCTATTCTGTTACCCAAAACTATATTATACACATAAACTACATCAACTTGTATAAAAGCACAAGGGAAGATGACAAATGAAGACAATGTGTGATAAACACAAAAGAACACGCAAAAGAGAAATAGTTAAAACTATTACAGTCTCTTTACAGTCACACACCATCATGATGTCTGACTCCCCCACTCCCCTCTCCATCTTCTCCTCCACCAGAACCATGTCAGTGTCCCCTGGGGGAGGATCACACCTTCCTCCCTGCAGGTCTGGGACTCAGGATACTGCTTTCTCTGGCAGCTGTGGTTCCCGTGACCCTCGTCCTCAGATGTAGAAGGACTGTGTCAGCACAGGGGCACCTGGAGCTCAGGTCCCAGCTCCCCAAGTCACCCCGAGTCTGAGAGTCTCTTCTTCAATCTCATCTTAATTCAGGAAGCAGTTATCTGCTTTCCAAATGGTGTTGACACAAAAGAGGAACCAGATCTTTCTGAGGTCACCAAATTAACACACCACAAATTATTCACTGCTCATAGAAATTCAGCAGGTTTGATCAAATTAAGTGTATTTCATCCATTCCAGAGTAGGAAGCAGATAACAGAATATTAGGCTCCTGTAAAGTCCATTATCTGCCATTTCCCCAAATATTTTGGTGGCAGAAGTTTCCTGGTCACATAGACCAGACCCCTAAAAATAGATCTGGGGATGTTCCATCAGGCTCTAAGCAAATCCACACAAAGTCAAGTTGGATAAAGTAAACTCCAATTAATTTAGGAGAATCATTCAGAGCTCATGCCATTTTTTAAAGGATAAAATCCTTCTTAAATATTTTCTTTACCAAATGACAAATGATTTCCCATGGAAAAATTAGTTCTACCCTAAATGGGTTCAAAGTTATGTCTCAGCATGAGGCCTGACCTGACTGTTCTCTCAGCCATGGCCCAGGAATCTGCACCCAGAGCAGGAGGATGAGACTCCAGCATGCAGGACTCACTCACAGGTTTGTCCACAGGGAACCTGCAGCCCCAAGAAGAGCCCAGGGCAGGGCTGGGAAGGGAGGGGGCTCATGGGGACACGGTCTCAGGGGTACAGGGGAGGAGGGGGGCTTCAGGCCCTGGGGGAGCTCTATCCACACCAGAGCCTGAGGGGATCCCCTCCCCTGGGGGACTCACAGGCTCCTCCAGAGAAGGAGGATTGTTCATGGGAACAGAGGGCTTCTGGGGCCCAGCCTCCAGGGGGCAGAGGGTCATGGACACATCTCCAGAATAACATGCAAAGTATGGAAGGAGGGCCCCAGAGAAGGACTCAGGAGGGAAGGAGAAGATGTGGGAGCCATCAGTCATGTCATAGAAGGAGACGTCCCCGTGATCATAGTCCAGGAAAACCCCCACCCTGTGGGGAAACTGCCTGATGGGTAGTGTAGTATCAGGGTCAGTAAAGGCTTGGAAAATGTAGTTGTACTGGCCAATAACCCACTTCCCTTTCAGTGGGGAGTTAGCACTGTATCTGTTTTTCTCATCTTTCCTCCAGACCCCCAGTCCCCACTGAGTTCGGTCTCCACTCTTGACCTCCACTTCCCAGTAACAGCGCCCTGATGTGATGCCCTCAAGACCCAAAACAGTGTATTCTCCTCCTTTTCCATCGTGATGACAGGTCAGACTCGTCTTGTCATGAGAGAGGACAATTTCATGACTGCAAGAATCTGGATCCAGAGTGACAGGCCCTGCAGAGAGAGAAGCCATATGCCAGCCTGACATAACAAGGTTACACACCTCCTCACCTCAAATACTCAGCTTTATGGGGAGAGGGATATGTTCCCTGAAATGAGAACCTGGTGACTCCAGTTCACAGCCCCCAAGCAAGAGAGAGAGCCAACAACATTATTGGGTGTCAAATATGTCGCAGGAACCCTGGGGACCCACCAGGACCCCAAGGACTAAGGAGCCCCTTCACCACTCATGACCAGTCACCCCCAGCCCATCTGTGTGATGTCACAGCTACACCTACCCCACCCCCATGTAGGGTGCAGAGTCTCTGCCCACACAAGGAACAGAAGGAAAGGCCAGAAGCTGAGCAGCCCCAGAGAGAACAGAATCACTCACAGGCCTGGAACTGCTCCTTCCGCCAATCTGCAAGAGACACACATGTCACGTGAGGGACTCTAGATACTCACACATCAGGGCCCACACCTAGTTTTCTACAAGACAGTGATACAGAGTTCACAGGGGAAAATATGTGGAAACATTTAGTTGACGCATTTAACTTTTAGATTCATATGCACACACATACACAAAGTTGTTAATACTGCAAATTTCCATGATTTAAGACATAAAGCTTTATACTCAGGGATGAGAGGCTGGACACCAACTGAACAGAAAGGTCTTTACCCAGACACAACCATCAAATTATACTTTCCAAGTCACCAGCAACAGGCCCATCCTGGAAACGCGGTTTTCTTGAACAGATTCTATGGAGATGAAACACCCAGGACTGCATGTGCTTATGAAGAACTAATAGACCTGGACGTGCAGCTTGTCTCTGAGCCACAGGGCTTAGAGCTACAACCAGCCAGGCCCATGTGCAGCCCGACGCTCCTGCTTCTTGGGGCAGCAAAGGCCTGTGGAAGCCTGGAGACGTGGGGGATGGTGGGCAGAGTTTTCCCTCTGATTGTCCAACAAGGGGAGAGAGAGAGAGTGACACAGCATGACTGAGCTGCACGTGGGGGTGAATGTGACATGAGTGAGGAGACTCAGGACACTCAGCAGAGGACCCTGCCCACTCAGGAGGGGGTGCAGAGGGTTCTAGGAGGAGAGAGACATGCAGAGTAAGGACATGGACACACACTGAGAGGACCAAAAACTAGTGACGACGTTCTACAGTTTCATGTATGGTGGAAACAAAACCCTCCCTATAGACAGAGAAGAACACAAACACATTGGAATGACACATCTGTTTCCATCAAGAGGAGCCCAGAAAGATGGAAGCTTCAAAGTAAAACCTCTCTGAATAAGCAGAATAATTGTTCGGGGGAAAAGGATGTCCCAAAGCTATTTCCATATAGGCTTTGTGGACTCCACCCCCACCCCAGGTCAAAGCCAAAGACACTGGGAACTCCAAATCCCATCACCACCAAAGGGAAGGTGGCTGGGACCTGAGGGTGGGGTTAAGCAGCCAGGTGGATACAAAAGGCAGACACGTGGGCTTTGGGGGACCACATTTTGGGCTCTCTACCAGCTCGCAGCGTCCGGCCAGCTCTGAGAGTGACTTTGGGTTTCCAGGTCGTCAGATCGGGTAGGACGCATTAAAGACTTTATTTCCCTATTTTCTCCCTGAGTTGTACATTTTCCTTATTTCCTTTCCTCTTGTAAATAAACCTTTTATTAACCCTTTTGTGTGTGTCTGTAGTAGAGTATTCATAAGTCCCTTTAAAGCGCGCGGGTGAGGACCCACAGCCAGGAACCCGTTTAATATCGGGGTTGCTCTATAACATAATGACTTCAAAGATGTCCATGTCCTCATCCCATGACCTTGTAAAATGTGTCCTTGACAGAGGAAGGAGAAACCTGCAGGTGGGACAGAGATGGTACCTAGAAACAGTGATGTTATTGAGGATCATCAGGGGGAACCAATCACATGAGCCTTAACAGCCGTGACCCTGTACCTGTACTCAGAGACAGTCACATGGTGAGGGCAGCGGGGCCATAAAGAGGCTGCAGGGCAGGCTGTGTAGACAGAGGATGGGGGTCTCCAATCAATGTAGGGGGCCCTAGATCCTGGGAGAGGAAGGGGCTCCTGAAAGGAAGGAGCTGCCAGACCCTGGAGTTAGTCCCAGGACTCGGTCTCAGGTGTCTGCCCTGCAGGCGTGTGAGATGATAAACTGTGTGGGTGACGCTGCTCAGGGTGTGGTGACATGTGTCAGTAGTAGCTGGAGCTCTGATACCCCATGTGCAGTCCCAGGCAGGTGAGCAGGTTCCTCGCAAGGGAGGGTCTGGAGGCAGCACCAGGACCCCATGATGCACGTGGAAAGATGAGGACCCTGAAGTGTCACCTGCTTTGGGGGGAGACAGAGGGAGAGAGAGGGGCCTGGAGAACAGGCAGGGAGGGAAGGACAGGTGAGGAGATGAGGACAAGGATGTGGGACAGGAGGAAGGAACCAGAAGGTTTATCAATTTGCTGACCAAAGACAGACACAGACCCTGACTCTGCTGTGGAGGGAGGGTCACCCACAAGCCCTAATGATCAGACAGGACATGTCCTGCCCCCCTCAGCATGTGCCACACGGGCTTTTATACCAGTGGCCCCAGGGGAGCCCCTGAAATGACTGAAAGGGGAATACAGCCCCTCTCCCCCAGAGCCCCAAGACCATGTCATCCCTACTCCATGCTTGCCTGGGAAGGAGGAGGCAGGTCATTACCCAACACTCAGGTCAGACACAGCAAGACTCAGAGGCCATCAGGGGAGAGCCTGAGTTTCCCAATTGTGTGAGGAGAGAGGGGGAGAGATGAGAATCCAGGATCCATATTTATAGGAATAAGGAGCAACATCTTCTTGTGCACATGGTGTGTAAATGTGTGATACCAGCCACACCTGCACAAGCACACTCTGAGAAACTGTCATTTCCATTTTAGCTTGATAAGAAATAAGATCCCATGCAATGACTGGGTGGCATATATGTGACCTCTTTGTGAAAAAATGAGATTTTAAATTTACTTGTTTTTCCTGAGATATTAGTTGACATCCAGGTTTAATGCTCTACACCACGCTTCTTCATACAACAATAAAAATGAGGGAGTGGAGGAGAACAGGAACAGGAGCATCAGAAACAAATGTAGAAAATCCAGTGACATTTAATGTGAGACACAGCGTGCCCAGGACTGTGTGTGCACTGCTAATCAGTTAATTTTTGTAGCAAAACCTTAAATAAAAAAAATTTTTGTTAAATTTCACAAATAATACGAGATCACACACGTATCTATCTATGAATCTGTCAATATCAAAATGTTGATTCTAGTGTATTAATGTGTTTCATTCAAACACATCATTCTTTTTGCATGCCAAAGGAAAGTTTATGTTAAAATGCATGAGACACGAACTCAGCAGAGGCTGGAGTGATGGTAAAGATGACTCCGTGATCCTCACTGCATGAAAATGAGCCCCAGCAGAACCAGGGAGACTCTCAGGAGGGTCCTCACACTCCTGGTCCCCAGCCCCTCCCCTACAAACTCCCACTCTGTGGCTCAGGGTCTGTGTCCAAGACCATGAACAAACCCCTGAGCAGGGAAAGGGCGTGTGACTCAGAATCAGGAGGCTCAGATCTCCCCTCACAAGCATCTCTGACCTTCCCTGCAGGACCCAGTGCGGACCCTGCCCTGGGGTTACAGTGGGGAGCTCATGTGAGAGGCAACACAATTAGATGGTCACCTCAATCATGGTTTTTAACATGTAACTTTATCTGAAGTACTTCAAAAGGCCCACTGTGTTTCATTCCCAAGCCTTGCATGGTGTCTGAACAGCACAGATTCAAACTGGTGACTGTGCCCAAAACTCTAGAAGGCTCTTCTCCCACACACCCCTCTCCTTCCTTCCTCTCTCTATCTCCATCCAGACTTTTCTTTCAAATATCTCCCCTGTTCTTTGGGAATGGATTATAACCATTTTAGGTTTCTTCTTTTCCAGTCTACATAGTTGCCTCTTAAAAAAAAACAAAAAAAAAAAACACCTACTTAATAGCGACCATGAGACTGTCAGACAAAATTCTCCTTAAAAAGATGATGGTTCTGAAAAATCATACATTGTTTATCTTATTACAAAGACACAAAAAATACAGCCGCAAGCACACACACACACACACACACACAGACACACACACAGAGAGGATTTTACATGTAATTTCAGATCTTTTACAGGCCCCTGCCCAGGAGTCATAAACACCCCAGAAGCTCTGACTCAGACTCAGACACCAGCTCTAAACAACTGATTCCTCAGCACCCACAAGGGATTAGAAGAAAAACCCAGCTTGGACATGAATCAGAGGATGCATGAGAAGACAGAGAATCAAGAGGAAACAGGAAACAAAAACTAGATCCAAAATAGGACTGGGATTTGGGATCCAGAAAGATCCATAACCCAGGACCCCTTAGCAAGACCTGAATTGGAAGCAGAAAGTAGGATGTCTGGAATTTTCCAGAAATCAGAAAATCCTGACCCACACACTTGTCCCTGCTGCAGCCTCTCCTCACACTGACCCCCACTGTCCTCACCCACGAGAAAGGACCAGGTGACAAGGGGTCAGAGGGTGTCCTGACCCCACATGACCTGCAGGGAGGACAGGGCAGGTGGAGGCAGGTCTGTGCTCACAAGGGGGGACCTGCAGTTCTCAGATGGAGGCTCCAGAGTGAAGGAAGAGCAAGGACTCCAGGTCCTTCATGGGGGGGTTTCCTGATAGAGAAAGGGCAGATGGGAGGCTGGGAGGGGTCCAAGGACCCTCAGGGCCACTCACCTGCATACAGCTGGGCCTTCCTCCAGGCTGAAAGGGAACACACAGGTGAGACCTCAGCACAACCAGCTGCTCATGTGATCCAAGGACCCTGGGCTCCCCCTGTTCTGCATTGAGACTCTCTAGGGGGTGGAGGGGAGAGGCTGGAGAGGTTATGACCTCCTGCCCTGTGCAGACAGCAGGGGTGGTGGGAAATCCCTGGCTCAGGTCAGGAGCCTGCAGGACAGACTGACCCAGCCCTGCCTGCTGCTGCTGTGGGGCTTTGGACAAGTCACTGAGCAGCTCTGGGCTTCAAATCTCCTGTTTCACCTGCTACTCAGTGTTGCTGCACAGGATCAAAAACAGTATATGGGAAGATATTTTTTAACATACATATTATTTCATAATTATTACATTCAGTATTTCCTTGGAAATTAATGGGAAGATGAAATAAAAACACGACATGGACATCACACCAGCTGCAGAGTAGAAATGGCCCATCTTTCTCCAATGCAGTATTTCCAGTGATAAAAACTCTCTGGGAGAGGGAAAGTCCCCCCACTCCCTCCCATGCAAGGTCACCCCGTCCTCCCCCAGCACTACTGATCAGCATCTTCAGGAGCAGAGAGAACAGACTCTCCTTGGGGTTTTTTGGGGAGAGAGGGTAGGAGGCGGTCACACTCCTAAACTTCAAGAGTCCATTTGCTTTTCAAATCCCAGAGCAGCTGCTTTACTTCCAGGTGCTGACCAAGAACCAGATGCATTGAGGACTAGAAAGCCAGCACCATGGTGGGAAAGTCAGGGCTGGAATGAGATGAGGACTCAGGAGACTCCAAGGGTCACCAACCACCAGGATCCCAAGAATGAGGGGAAAACAGCACCCAGATCTGGGGAGCCCATGGAGCAGGGTCCTGCCTCCCACCAGCTCCCACTTCCACCCCAGGGAAGGGGCCACATATCTGTGCTTAGACAGCCAAAGGGAGGGAACCATGAGCACAGGGGACAGGGGCCCAGGACACCTGGGGCATCACTCACCAGCCAGGTAAGCTGCCTTCCTCTGGTCTGAAAGACAACAGAGGAAACAGATGAGCTAAGAACCAGAATGTCTCCTATGAAGGGGGCACAGAGAGTTCAGGAGGGAGAGCAGAGCTTACCTAGATCTTCCTGGAGTTCATCTGAAAGAGAATTAAAAATATAAGTATAAACTGTTGCTAAGAACAAAATTTGTGCCTAGAGAAGACACAAAAATAAATCTCTTTGTGTCCTAGAAGTTCCACCTTCAGACCAACATGAGCCTCCAAGCTCCACTGTCCCCTTTGGGACTCAGCACCTGCTCTGATCTCCCTAAAGTGGACCCTGGGCTCTGGCTCTGGTGTCAGCTTGTCCCTCTCAGCATCCACTGTCATACATACCAGCCTGGCCCTGCCCCTCCCTATCTGTGTCCTTCAGGGCCTCCTCCTTGGTCTGTCTGTCCTCCTCCGTAGCCTGATGTAGACTCATCTGTTTCTGAAGCTCCTGCACTGGTATGGAAAGTTCTTCCAGGATATAGATTGCAGCAAATGGGAGCAGGAATAGCAGCAAGTGCAGAATCACCAGGAAAGCCAGCATCCAGGGAGAGACCTGGGGGAAGAAGGGCTCTACAGACAGAGACCCCCACAGAAACCCCATCAGGATATAGCCCAGGACAGCCCAGCCCAGCACACCTGGGGTCCCAGCCTCTCCCTCTGACCCTGCAGGGAGTGGGGGGTGGGAAGCAGCACTGACCTGGGATGACAATGGCCATGGCCTTCTCCTGGCCCAGGATGGGGTTGAGGATGGAGCAGGTCACGCTCCCCGCAGAGCTGTCTCTCACCACCAGAGCAGCCTCCACACTGAACAGCCCCTCATTGTCCTGGGCCTGGGCCTTGGAGAACTCTAGGAACTGCTCCCCATGGAGGTGTCTCCACTGCACCTGGGGCTCTGGGAACCAGCCCGAGGCTGTGCACACTACACGCACCCCGTCCTCCTCTGGCCCCAAGATGTGCACTTGAGGAGCAGAGCCCACACCTGCGAAAGGAAGATGAGAGCCAGGTAGGGCAGGGCCCACCTGTGCACAATGCCAGAGAAGGCTGCCAAGGTGCACTCTGAGGGGTCTGGGAGAAACCATGCCTTGGGGAGCAAAATGATGACCTGATACGTTCATCTCTACCTTTCTACCTATTATTTTTATAATTATATAAACATGTTCAAATCTTTGTAGAATTTTTTTACTGTTGTAAGAGTACAGCTTATAATCCATAAACAGCTGTATTTTCTCATTTCTCACCAACATCTCAGCCTCCATAGTGCAGCTTATCCTTCTAGTCCATTCTATTCTGGGTGATTCAATAAAAGTCTCCCATTTGTCCACCCCAATCTCCAATGTCCTCTCATCCAGTCTCCATTCAGGACACTCCTGACCTGATCTTGAAAGCACCTGCATCTTGGACTGGTCACTTCCTTCTCAGGGTGGCTTGTGGTAACTTGGACCCCTGCTGAGCCCCTTTCCTGACCTTTCTCCCTGAACCTGCTCCTTGAAGGCAGCACAGTCCCAGGGTCCAGTCCTTAAATCCCCATCTTATCTCACACCCTCTCCCAGGGCTTCTTCTCCCTCAGCTCCTGTGTCTCCTCACACATCACTTCCAGATATCAACTCCCCAGCCTCCAACCTCCCTCCATGAGAGCCCCATTCCTGTGGGATACATCTGCCAGGATTCTTCCCATGCTCTTCACACCCAAAATTCTACACTTGAACTCATGCTGTTGTCTCATCTGAGGTAAATTAGCAAAAAAAATGTTCCTGATTCTTCACCCTTCTTCATATCAGGCTCACACTCTGCCACAACATTTTACTCACACTCTGATTCTGGATTCAGTCATGTGACTTCATGTGTCTAATGAGAGATCAGCTCATGTGATTCAGCAGAGGTTTCAAGTGCTGACCCCACGGGTCTTCCCTCTGCCATCTCCATGGAAGGACATTGTAGTCCAGGTGCTGGAGGATGAGCTCTTGTTGCAGAGACTGTCACCAGCCTTTCCCCCTGAAGCTGGCCTCCCTCAGCCAGGAGCCCGTGACCATTCATGTAACGAGCCCAGCCAAGGTCCATTTGCTGAATTTTTCTTCTGACCAAAAAATATAGGAGGAAGTTCAGTGGAGAGTAGTCAAGTCCATCCCAGGTTAGCTGATGGCCCAGCAGCCCATGTGAGTACAAGTCCATTACTACAGGCCACTGAGAGATTTTCTTTGTGGTTCTTTGTTACACAGCAGCAATATAGTGACAAGTAACTGATACACATTATTAATGTTCCTGACATTAAATATCACACAGACTCTGCAAAGCATTGGAAGCCTCTGCAGTTCCTTCTTCCACTTTAATTCTGTTACCCAATTCTCATTTAATTGGGTTATTCTAAACCTCACTGATGGCACCTCCTGTGCACCAACTGCCACGTGTGAACCAGCCCACCCCTCCACCCCGTAACGGCATCCACAACTCCAGACACTATCCCAGCACTTGTCCTGCCCACAACTGCCAGAGTTACATGCTAAACGCTATTGTGCTTAAAATCTCCAACAGCTCCACATGCAAACACCACAACATGTGCACCAGGACTCCTCATCTGTGACTGACTCCTCCCCAGCCTCTTCTCTCTGCAGTGCTCACACTTTTACACCTGTGCCCTCAAGACCCAACACCCCAAACTAAAGAATCTAACTGCTGCTGTCCACAATCACCAGGCTCTGTGGACTCCATCGTCCTTCCTTCATCTGGTCTGAGGGGCTTTATAGACCCTGTTAGATAAAATGATGTCCCAGCTCAAATATCTACATCACATGGAGGTTTTTATGATTACCATGTACTCACAACATCTTTTCATGACAGTGTTGTCACCTCACAACACCCTGCTCCTCACTCTCTCCCACCAGCCATGAGGACTCCATGTGAGCAGATCACACACCAAACACACACTCCCTCAGGTCATTTACACATGCTGTGCCTCCACGTAGGAATTTCCCTCCCTGTAATGTACAAAATGCCTGTAGCCAACATTGCTCTGTGATACGTAGGGAAGTTGTTAAAGGACAAACTCCAAAGAATTTTTTTTTTTCCACAGTGAGGAAATTTTCCTGTTTTTGCTTCTTTTTCTTTCTTTTTTATTAAACCTATAATAGTAGACAGATGTGATTTAACCTATTGTGGCAATCACTTCACTGTATATATAAATCAGTCATTATGCTGTATGCCTCATGTTACATATGATACATAGTAATTATCTGTCTATAAACTGGGGAGAAAGGAACACCCACACATCAGATATCTACTCAGCTGTATTCCCACTTCCCTGGAGTCTTTGCTCCAACGGCACCAGGTTGAGCTGCTATTTATTACTGTAACCTCCCCTCAGCCCCAGCCCCACATTGCTCACCCATCTCCCCGCTCCATTTAGATACCTGTCCTCGTCACTTCTCACATCGAAATGTCATTTATGTCCTGGTTATTTATTACAATTGCTCTATCGCCTACTACAAATATAAACTCAAAGAATGAAGAACTTTATTAGGTTTGTTTTTGTATCCAAGGGTTTAGAACAGGGCCAGACATGTGGTAGGTACCCTGTATATTTATATTTCATAAAACATGAATGAATAAGTCTTTTCTTTCTCATACATGAAACGAAAACTAAATTCCATTGCTCTTATTTTTCCCCCAATTCCAAAACTCCAGGACTCTGAGATATTTAACATGTCACCAACCTGCCACCTGCAGCTCCAAGCTGGCTTGCCCATGGAGGACTCCATTGCTGAAGAAGCAGGTGTACAGCCCGTTGTCAGCAGCCTGGACCTCGTGGATGATCACAGAAGCCTCCCCTTCACTGAGGAATTTCCCCACCAGTGAGGTCCGCCCTGCATACTGGGCCATCAGCTCCTCATGCCGCTCCTGTCGGTCTTGATAGGTGAACACTGACTCCCAGACATTGGACCGGAACCACCTCAACTCCATGTTCTCTGCACTCATGACTGGGAACAGGGAGCAGGGCAGTGTGGCATCCTTGCCCAGCTCTGCCACAATGGGGCCTGAGGGGCCAAACACATGGAACCTCTCTGTGAACACAGACATGGGCGTTAGAAAGGGTGAGAGACACAGTCATATCAGGGAACACACACTATCACTGGGGGAGGCCCAAGCAGCCTGAGGGAAAGTATCTATGAGCAGGCAGCTGACTTGAAGGAGTAACAGTGACAATTCTGAATCTGGGAAAGATCTTCCAATCACAACTTGTGGTCCAGAAATAATGTCAAAGATGCTCCCTCATTCAGTGGTGTCCCTGATAGCAGGACCTTCCATGAAGAACTCTAACTCCATGGTTCTCATCTTCAGCATCACAGTCTCTAGGAGGGCTTTTAACTGTAAAATGCCAGGACCCTACCCCAGGTCTGATGTAGTAGATTGGGATGTGCCCAAGAATGTGCATTTCAAAAGAGTTCTTGGGGGACTAAGAAGGTGTCTAAGGAAATTCATTTCATTGCACAGAGGATCATCAATGTGAATGAGTGGACAGGACACCCAGAGAACACAGGGCTTGTGACACAACTGGACACTCTCATACAGCTGTCACCAGGCAGACAGCACCAAAAGGGACACAGGGGAGAGTCATGTTTCACTGACCAAGAGGTAGGCAGAGAAGACACCAGGAGGCTGTGGTCAGGGTGGGGGAGGCTGCAGCACACACCATGATGGTGACTCAACCAGTCACGTGACCCTGGACAGGGAGAGCTGACAGTGAGGGGCTCACATCTCTGACTGGGAGCTCCCAGCTACCAAGGTCCCCAGTGAAGAAACAAGGCACAGAGCTGGATGACTCCCACAGCCCCCTCAGGACTGGCCCCGTGCTCCTGAAGCTCATGGACAGTGTGCACAGCCCAGAGTCTCAGGACCGAACTGGGAGAGAGGTGGGTATCAAGGCTCCCACAAACATGAGCTCACACACCCCAGCCAGAGCACCCACCCCAGAGGCTGGATGACTGCAGGCCCCACAGTCTCTGACTCAGCATCACAAGGATCAGGTCTCTAGTCCTACATAAGTTACAAATCTAAAAACACAACAGGGTCACCTTATGGAAAATTAGAATTAATTCAACTCTCTAAGTTACCACTACAGGTGCATTTTTTTCAAAAACAGTAAATATTTTTTGTGTGTACACATTTAGTTTTATTGTAAAAAAGCAACTTGTACATTTAACATTTAAAATTGAGCATCATCTTTCCTTTCCAGTGAAACAAAAAGAAAATTTAAAAATAAAACAGGAACAGGGCCTCCCCCGTGGCACAGTGGTTGAGTGCCAAGCTGCGAAGTTATCCAAAGCCTCTGCACTGCTGTTTTGATTCCCTGCTGGACAGGAAGAACCCCACATGGTATGGTAGGCCTCTCCTGCATCACCCGCTGCTCCCCTCAGCAGTGTATTTCATCAATCTGCCTGTTCTGCTCCTCGTTCTGTCTCTGGTGAATTCTCTCACCCTCCCACGCTTCTGACCTATACCTCAGTTCTTGTATAGAACAAATAAATCTTTAAAAAAAATAAATAAGTAAAATAAAAAAATAAATAAAACAGGAACAAAATTACAATAGAGAATGTCAGTTCCAAAAGATCCTACAGCTTCTGCTGATTCTCCCATTGAGTGGCAGGGCTCAAGTCATCATTAGGAGAGAATTTTATTTTAAAAGTGTCATCTTAAACTGCAAGGATGTCAGTTAAACATCACAATGAAACATACCAAAGGAGAAGCCATGTTGTCAAAATGCCCACTTAACGTACCCAAACACCTCAAATCCACACACATTTGCTGACCTTCTATAACCCCATTTTTAAAGTTTTTTTTTTCTTTTTTTTAAACAAGAGAAAAGTAGACAGTTATATGTTGGTAAATGCTACCTGTCCATACTCACATAGAGACACAGTGTAATCTTTGAGCCCAATATACAGCGAAAGGAGGAAAAAAGCTAGAATTCTATGCACTACTGCACAGGGGCCTAGCACCCTCCAGCTACCAGCAGAGCTAAGGGAGCAGAAGGTTTTTTTTTTTTTTTTCCCCCACAGAGCACGGTGGTGTTGATTCCATAAAGCTTTTGTTGAGACAGGAAGGGATAAAATTGAATTTGGAACAGAAAGGAGTAGAGAGAGATTCTTTTCCCACTGTATTCTGCTGAAGTTATTTCCCCCCAAAATAAGAACCATGGTATAAAGGAGAGAAAAGGGACCTCAAAAAACAGGGGAACTGAGCACAAGGGGAAAAAGAAAAAAGAAAAAGACTGCAACTTGCTCCCAGGGACTGGAGAAAATTAAAAAGGTTGAAATCCATCAGTGTTCCATGAGTCATCTTTTCCTTCATTCTCCTTTCCTTCCTCCTCCTCGTCATCATCTTCATGTTCTTCACCTTCATCCTCCTCTTCTTCTTCATCAATGTCTTCTAAGCCTTCTTCTTCTTCTTCATCATCATCATCTTCTTCTCCTTCCCCTTCTTCATCATCCATGTCAGGAACCATGTAGTATTTGGCCAGATATCAGCTTTGATGACCTCTCCTAAATCATCTGGGTTTTCATCAAAATAAAAATCTATTCTGTAACCTGATTTAATATCTTCAAAACTGTCACTTCAACTCTTGTCAAATACTGCAGTGCCTCTTCCTCTTCCTCCCCAAGCACTGCAGACACTTGTGGATGGTTAACAAATGTTGTTACCTAAAAATCTGGCATTTTGGCAATCAATTCTGACCTCTTCTGAAGAAATGGCTGGCAGAGTTTGTTATATTTCTGTTCTACTTTCAAAATCCCCTCACTGGCTTGTTCGTTAACTCTATTTCATTTTGAATGTCATCAACATGTTCAATTGCTCCTTGTTGCTCTTTTTCTGAGATCTCATTCGCCCCATCATGGGGAGAGAAGGGAAGGCAAAGGGGGCAGGCAGAGGCTTCCCTTACACCACACAATAGCTCCTGACCCCTCTCTATCCAGCAGATTCCACCCAGCACTTGCTCCACACTCTCTCAACCTCCCCCTGATCTCCCAGCTGCCCTCACTGCCCGGCAACAGGGGAGGGGCTGGCTGACATCCCAGCCCAAACTCCAGCTTCAGAGCGGAGGCTGCAGTGGGCAGGTGGCTGGCTCCCTCACACACTGCCCCCTCTCCCTAGGAGCCTCCTCCTCCACCTCCTCCTTCTCTTGGAGAGGGAGAGGGGAGGGCAGCCAAAAATAGGAAATTTAAAGCAACAAAAGAAGCCCCAGAAACTTGAAATCTCAAAGGAACATGAAATCACAAGATGAGACCAACTCTCCAATATGCAACTACAATGATATAGATGATCATATCTTACTATCAGGTAGAGTTCAAATTGCCATAATAAAGAATGTCAAAGAGATGGAGAAAGCACAGAAAAGTGAATCAAAGAGAAAAACAGAATTCAGAACACTAAATGAATGACTTGGAAAATAAAATGAGTGAAAGAAAATAGAAATTGAAGCCTTGAATTAAAATCACAGAGATGGGGCTGTTAAAAGATCAGCACAGAAGCTACTCACTCCTGGAGAAGCTATTGAGCAGAATAGACCAAATAGAAGATTGAATCAGTGACTTGACAATAATAATGAACAATGGACCAAAATAGAAGAAAAAAGATTAAAATGAAGAAAAACTGTAAGAACTTATCAATCTGTAAGAAAAAGCCATATAAGCATAATGGATATTCCACAATTTGAAGAGAGACAGGAACAAAGATTCATTCAAAGAAATAGAGTAACATTACATATATACACACACATACACATAATGAAGTAGTAGTCAGATTTTTTTAAGATTGTTATTTATGTATGCATACAGGAGCTGAGATGTAAGCCAGAGGTGCACCAGATAAGGGGATTCACCACAGAGTGGGGAGAAGAACAGGAAGACTGACAGAAATAGACTGCTGAAGGGAGCAGCTAGCAAGACAGGAGAAGTCTGCTACAAGCTGTGGATAAGCTCCTGGCCAGGGGTGAAAATCCTGCTGCAGTGGCTGGTAATAGCTTGATAATGCTGAGACTTAACCCCTTGCAGGGAGGCCCACAGATTTTTTTTTTTTTTAATAAGCAAAATCATGCTATTTAAAACAATATGGATGATAAGATCAGGCGCACAGGGGAGCACGTTCCTGCATTGGTATTTTGGAGCAGGGACCTTTCTTCCCTGGAGACTGCTTGAAGCTGGTGGATGGCTCCCAGAGGAGCCAGATGTGAACTGGGAAGTTCGCCCAAGCCAGGCCCCTTCTGGCCTGCAGTCCAAGCCCAGAGGAGAGTGGCACCTACCACTGGGGCAGATAGGGCATACAGGGGAGCGCATTCCTGCATTGGCAATTTGGAGCAGGGATCTTTCTTCCCTGGAGACTGCTTGAAGCTGGTGGATGGCTCCCGGAGGAGCCAGAGGTGGGCTGGGAAGTTTGCCCAAGATGCTGGCCAGTACCAGCAACACAGTGTCCCAAGGAATATGGCAAATTAGAAAACAGGCAGTAGGGAGTAGAAAAACCACATGCAACCTAGCAACTCCTCAGGAAAAAAGCACACCACAAAAAGAAAACCACCTACCAAATTGCAACGACAGTAACTTGGAAGAACTTCTGAGCCTTCCAGAAAGAGAATTTAAAATTGCCGTCATTAAAAAACTGACAGAAGTCGGGCCTCCCCGGTGGCGCAGCGGTTGAGCGCTGGGTTGCGAAGCTGCCCGCAGCCTCTGCGGCGCGGGTTCGATCCCCAGCTGCTCCCCAGTCACCGGAGGAGGGTCCCACATGGCGCGTAGACCTCTCCTGTTGCCCGCTGCTCCCCTCAGCAGTGTACTTCGGTCCTTCTGCCTGCTCTGCTCCCCGCTCTGGCTCTGGTGAATTCTCTCACCCTCCCACGCTTCTGACTGTACCCAGTGCTTGTATAAATAAATAAATAAATAAATAAATAAATAAATAAAATAAAAAAACATGCCTCTAAAAAACTGACAGAAGTCATAAAGGAAAACAATGATAAGGGAAAAATAATTAATGATCAGAAGAATGAAATTGAGTCCTTAAAGAGGGAAGTAAAAAAAATGCAGGAGATCAAAGAAGTAATGAAGGCGCTAAAAAGCTCTGGGAAAAGCAATGAAAGCAGAATAGATGAAATGGAAGAACGGATAAGCACTCTTAAAGACACAGAAATAAAAAGAATTAAAACAGAAAAGGAAATAGAAGTACGAAGGAAAAAGACCGAAGAAAGACTTCGGGAACTATCTGACTCCACGAGGAAAGGAAATATAAGAGTTATAGGAATCCCAGAAGGAGAGGAGAGAGATATAGGAACAGAGCAAATATTCAAGGAAATAATTGCAGAGAACTTCCCAAATGTGAAGAAGGAGCTGAAAATTGATATACAAGAAGCAAGAAGAACACCAAACTCCTATGACAAAAGGAAAAATACAGCAAGACACATAATAGTAAAGCTCCCAAGAATCCAAGACAAGGAAAAAATAATGAAGCTGACAAGAGGGAAGAAACAGATAACATTCAAAGGAAAACCAATCAGGCTGACATCAGACTCCTCTGAAGAAACACTACGGGCAAGGAGAGAGTGGAGGGACATAGCCAACAGACTCCAAGAAAACAGATGCCAACCAAGAATACTCTATCCCGCAAAGCTCTCCTTCCTCTATGAAGAAAGAATAAGGACCTTCCCAGACAAAC